TAGATATATATTCAGTGAGCAAGAAAGGGAAAGTGGGGTAATGCCCCTCTGACTGAGGACAAATCCAACTGTATATGGTAGCAGTCTTAGCCCTTCTTGGGCTGTGAAAAAATGAAACAAATTAAAGGAGATAGAAAAATAGAAAATATATAATAGTAATGTCCCTTTAACTGGGGGACAATTCCAGCGGAAGGATAGCAATCCTAACCTCTCTGAATCTATAGACTGGGCTTACTATGCTGTGCTCATCACCTAAAAGTCCTGCATTTGTCACACAAGTGAACATCTCCTTGAATTAGCCAGTATCATGTATCAGAAGAGAATCCCCTCTCCCCATCTTTTTTCATGCCCCCCCTGTGTTCTGTGATTGTGTTGTTTTTTTGGGGGGTCCTTCTAATCAGAAATATGTGACAAGTCTCCTCTGAGTGGGGACCTGTGTGAGAGGAGGAGAAGGAGGAGGAGGGAGGGGAGACAAATTCAAGATGTAATTTGCAGCATTGTTGTATGGAGGGGAGGAAGGGAGAAAATCCTATTCCCTCTTGTGGATCATTCTCTGAAAGGGGAACCAATATTATGAGGAGGTGATTAATACCGGAGCTCCGACTGCACAAGCCCTGTCTGGATATCCCCTGGAAGGAAGAAGCTGCTGTCCACATCGCCATTTGGAAGATTTGGGAGTGAAGAGGAGAAGCAGGATTCCTGATCTCATCTCCCCAGTGCAGGGAGAGACTTGGTTTATTCCGGCTGCAGAAGCAAAGAGCTTGTTCAATGTAGTGGGATTTTCTTTTTTGCAAGAATACCTGACCTCCTTTTTTTTTTTTTGGTGTGAGCAGAGATCCCCGCAGAATCTGCCATGAGAAGCCTGTGTGGATGGCTGAAGTGGGGGGACAGGACAGGGTGCAGATGCACGTCCAGGAGGATATGGGGGGCATGGTGGGTTTGGGGGCTTCTGGAAGTGCAAAGTTGGAGCAGGCTCGCCTTCATCAGCCTTGGCTGGCTGGCTGCATCGGCAACGGGTGAGTCCTTGCAGATAGACCTCTTGACTTGTCCATAGGCAGCACCATCATCACCATCATCACCATCATCATCATCCTGGTGCTGAGGATGGGAGATGCGGGCAGGCTGCTCATTCCCCAACCTGTCTGCGATGCTGTGCTCAACACTTCATTTATGCATAGACATAGGGATGCGGTTTCAGCACTGACAGGCGCTGGTGTGTCATCTGCGATCGTGTGTGTCTATGGCAGGATCAGAGATTTTAGGTGTTGTCTAGAGGTGAAGATTTTAAACCTGTAGGAATCTACAAACCCCCTCCCTTCCTTTTCCCTTTAATGAAATGCAATAGGAGCAGCTTGTGTCTGATCATCTGTGGCCATCGGTGGCTCGCACAATGCAAAGCTTGGATCTCAGATCTGCTGCAGGCATAAATCACTTTACCTTTATTACCAGCGACTGTTAAAGAACACATCCAGACCCAGCAAAGTTTGCCTGCTGCCTGCTCTGCATAGAACATCCTGTCCCCATTCCCAGGCAGCAATGGAGAAAGCACTATGAGGCAGTGAAAGTCAACCGAGCACATAGTGCCACACGGCTATTTTAACATGATATACAGGTCTTACTGTCAAATGCTATCAACTGCCTTTTTTTTTTTTTAATCTGCTAGGCTAGTGGAAATTTCCATTCTTCAGGCTAGTATCATGGGATTTCATGTAGCACTTGGCTACCTTGTCATTTGCAATTCGGTTTTCAGGCAGCTCTCCTTATTAATTGATTTCAAGACTGACCCTCTTGCCTTTAGCCAAACATGATCTACTTTGACCCTGACACCTTCTTGGAAAAAAAAAAGTACATCTGTCACCATCCCACACACATTGTGTTAAAACTCTAACCCCTAAAAGAAAAGCACTGTCCATCTTCTGATTTTTTTTTTGTAATTTGCAATCATAGATATTTCTATAGGTTCATCGAAAGGTTTAAAAGGATGGTATTAAAAATAATTTGAGCTACCCATTAATGCTTCTTAAAGGGAGTCGTTTCTATCTTTCTTTCTTTTTTTTTTTTCTCTTACCCCAGACCACAAGATGATTTTTCATGTGAAGTGTTGCATTTGACTCAAGGCCCCACGGCCACTGATTCGGGAAAAAAGGCTTTTATGTAGCAATTAAACGCATCTAATCCTATAATTGCATGAAACTATCAGTTTGGTGACACAATGTTATGTTATGGAGGCACAATCTAATGTTATGGAGAAGGTCTGATTACCTTTTTTTGGTGTGCTAATATCACTTTCTGTGCTGGTAAATACACAGGGTTGGATTACTGAATTAAAAAAAAAACATGTCATATTATTGATACAAATATTCTGTATATAATAGTTCTAGGTGGGATTAACATTTATGATGGCAACATCAAAAAAGCAAATACAGCAGGACTAGAGAGAGAGAGATGTGTGGGCAGATAGATACATAATGATAGGCTAAGCAAAATAATATAAAAGTATATTAATATAGCTTCATATATAGAGGTATGGAGGCAAAAGACACTTAGAAATACATATCATGCGTGTGTATCACTTCATATACTGCATAGTTTGATTGTCTTTATTGTGCAGCACTATATTCTTTATACATTCAAACTTATGTGTAGAATGATATTGAACGTCATTAATATGTGCTTTTTATATTACACTTTCATGTAATGGAGTTGTCAGCTGCACATATAGTTATTAATTGTATTATAGAAATCTGCATCCTTGCTTATAGCTTGCCTTTGCCTTTTTTTTTTCTACCATGGGTTTATGCTGAGGCACTTTCCATCAATTGCAGAATTCCATGACATGAGCAAGCCTTCGAAAAGGTTGCTGCCTTCATGCCTGTAAAGATTGTACAGCACAAAACCTGTGCGTCTCGTTTCATTGATTATGATAGGGTATCATTAGTCATAACTGATTCAACTCCCAAAGCAATCTAGCTTCACTCCTCCTGATTCTGCAGCTCTTCACCTGTATATACATACGAATTGCACTTTTTATTCAAAAAGGAAATTCTGGAAGTGCTTTTGCGTAAGAAGTCACGTGATTATATAAGAGATACCTTTTCTAAGCCTGCCCTCTCCCTCCTTGAAGCCACACTCATTTGAATTTAAAATGTCTTGTTAAATGTACGTTACCTCTACTATAGGGGTCCTCACCGGTTCACTCTTGTGTAAAGGATAATCAATTAATTTTCAGTTTTATATTAACAATTAGCATATTGCTATTCTATTGGACTGGTGACATCTGTCATTTGCAGTGACCTCTCATGCCAGCTATATTGCTTCATGACCATTATAAGGAAATATTGTAATAACCGAGTAGAAATGTGACATTCTCATCATTGCTTTGACATTCTTATAGCATGTGAACCTTTTCCAGGAATCCCTTGAGCCTTAGATTACCAAGGAGAGCCACAGAAATTACCCCAGAGAATTGCTAAATTGGACTGATTATTGTCCCAGTCTCAAGACTCCTGTCAAATCAAGACAAAGGTGGCTAATGGACATCTAATTGTTTAATTTTATTAGGCTTCCAGAAGGAAGTATTATGAAATATAATGCATGCCTGCACATCCAAATGACGTTATTTGATTTTTTTTTTAGCTCTTGATACCTCTAGTAAGCATTCCCTTATCAGGGCAAGCTGATGTTTAATCTCCTTATATTTTGCCTTCCCTGGTCCCCCACAACCATCAACATGCTAATACATTTTTTTAAATAAACACTTCCTGTTTTCATTACAAACCTTAATTTAAATCCAGTGATGTCATCAGTAGGTCTCTGTGCTTCTCTATGAATCACAGGCAGATCATGACTGGTGGGAGGGGCAAACAGGGTGCTGTATATAGCTTCCTGAAAACATCACAGCACCCTGTCTCAGTACATCTCTCAAAAGCCCTGAGCCCTGATCAGGGGCGGACTGACAACTCATGGGGCCCCCGGGCAATAGGGGATCATGGGGCCAATGTGTCCTTGCCCAAACTCAAAAAAGCCTATGAAAAAGGTACCAGGGGCATCTCATGGGGCCCCCTACTGACCCTGGGCCCTCGGGCAGTGCCCGAGTTTCCAAATGGTCAGTCCGCCCCTGACCCTGATGCAAGCAGTGGGGTGGCTCTTGAGAGAAGTTATGCAAATATCGAAATGCCTTGATGTTTGGATGTAAGTATGGAAAAGTGGGCATTCCTAGACAGGCTGTATTTGCATGCAGACTGCCCTTGTTAATGCACACATGTGATGCCAAGCCTCCATGATTGAAACAAATTAAATCCAATGAATGAGTGGGGTGGATCAAGAACCATCAGGCTGGGGAGGAAAGAGCTAGATAATGCTGGACATCCACCAGCCAGGAAATGAGACAGGCTCTGTCTGACTTGCTGCAGATTCTAATATGTACATAAGGAGAGCCTGTACAACTATGAAAAACTGAAAGGTCAGATTTCAGCTTGTTAAGAATGCAAGTAGGTGTGTTGACTGTCCGTATCCCAAGTATAGAAAGAAATGTTAGGTTAGTATTATTTGTGGTGACATTAAATGTACACCATCTAATTTTAATGATGGAGTCACTGACATTATTCAAGATGACTCCCATTGCTGATCAACTAATGACTGGCAATGATTGGTTAATGAGCAGGCTGGATGCTGATGTACAATTACTTCATCTGCCAGTGTATGTGCTTATCCTATAAGTACTTGTATTGATTTCTGCACAGTTCAGCTCAAAATGTCTGGATCTTTTAGATTTGTTTATAAATCTGCAGAGCCAAACCACCTGGTAATGAAACCACCTTGATATTCTTCCTATGTATTGCAATAGATAATGGTTGATAATGAGTAATAATTTGCATAATCTGCATCCCACATTTTAAGTATCTCTGAACAGGGGCGGACTGACCATTTGGAAACTCCGGCACTGCCCGAGTGCCCGGGGTCAGTAGGGGGCCCCATGAGATGCCGCTGGTACCTTTTGCATAGGCTCTTTTGAGCTTGGGCAAGGACACAGGGACCCCATGATCCCCTATTGCCCGGGGGCCCCATGAGTTGTCAGTCCACCCCTGTCTCTGAAATTTTTTTTATTGTCATCTTTGACCCATTGGAAGTTTTCTCCTTTATTTCCTGTGCTGTAGACACAACATTAACTGAAAAAAGAAATCTCTTTAAATTGAAAACAAATCTCTTAAAGCAGAGTTCCAGCCGAAAGTGGAATCTCCTCTTTTTTGCCCCCTCCACTGTCATATTTGGTTTTGACAGGTACCCGCTCCCACTTTCGGTTCTGTTTGCCGCAGCGAAATGAGCCAGAAGTTCGGCCCCCTCCTTGCTCCCGCAGTCTTCTGAGAACCTTCACAGGTCCCAGAAGACTGCCGGACAAATCAGGATGTGCACCGTGACGCGCACATGCGCAGTGGGCACCCAACTGTGAAGCCGCAAGCTGTCACAGCCTGGTGCCTACAGGAGAGATGCCAGCGCTGGGGAGAGAAGGAGAAAAGGGACTGCGCAGGTGAGCACGTCGCTGGACCCTGGGACAGGTCAGTGTGTGTTTATTAAGTCAGCAGTTACAGTTTTTGTAGCTGCTGACTTTTAATACACAAAAACGACTGGAAGCCCGGTTTAAACAGCAGCCACCAAAACAAGTGTCCCCATTGGAAGATTTTCCTTGTGTTTCAAATTTTGGATTATCCTTCATTTTAAGCCTTGATTTCAGTGGCCTCCAAAACAAATAATCTTCCATTTGGGCTATACAGGCAGCAATAAAAAGCTGAAATTGGTTCTAACCCCTCACCACCCTATCCAAAAATGAAAAGGCTTTGTAGACATTTCACTAAACATTTTAATCGGTGCTCATGTCCCACAGGTGACAAAGTGCATGTAGCACTTTGTCCCATCTTTCTAGGTGGTGTGGTTCCTGAGACACCTGGTTGACAATGCACCCCTTTCCCCCCACCGTTGTCAGACCACACATCAAGCAAGGAAACATATATTTAATTATCGACAGCCTTTGTCCCGGGTACTAGGTGCTTCCCTGGGAAAAGAGCCATCTCAAGGTATTCAATGGGAGAGGGACGTGTCACCTGGTCACCCCCTTTGTCTTTGCAAGTAGTGATAGGCTCAGTCAAATCCACCACTCAGCAATCCTGCATTATTAGTTGCTAAGATGCCAGTGACCAAGCTGCCAGGCTCATTGATTGTTAGGATACAGGCCACCGCACCACATGCCACGTAGCATTATCTTTTCTATGGTGCGGGCAGCTAGGCCACCAGTGGTGGTGCTAATTAGCACAATCACCGGCATCTTAGCAACCAATGAAGCTGTGCGGCCTGGCCACCTTCGTCCTAGCAACCAAATGCTAAATTAATGAAAAAAGAAAGAGGACTTGGCACAGGGGATATGAAAGAGCTCCCAACAGGCATGCCTGACAGGCGCACTTACTGAGCAGGCTGAGGTGGCAACTGAGCTCAATATAAGAAGCGCCTACAAATCAGGGCTCTATCAAGGGAAGAGCAGAGGAGCTAGAAAACAAAGAAATAAAGAAGGGATTTTCTTCACATTTCAATTGTGGTTCATTGTAGAGGCTAATATAGGTATTTAGTCATGAATGTATGGACCTATATTTAGTTTTTTAATGCCTATGAGAGTCCTTCTTTAATATAATTTTCCGCTAAATCTTCTTTAGCACCACAAGCTTTAAATGTCCCATAATACAGAAAATGGCGATTTTATGGAATGTAATATATAAATAGCAATATACAGCTCTCCCGCTAGTGTTAATCCTCTGAGCAGGTGCACAGAAACCTTGTTAGTTTCCTAGAAATAATGTAATATAGGGTATGTGGCCTGAAATCCAGATAGCAGACTTGCAAACCAAGAAAGATCTTTTTATATGGACATATTTAGAGGATTAGTGTTTTACAGCAGTAACCAGCAGGTTATGGCAGACACTAGTTTCACACATTTAAGACTGTTCCCTTAAACATTCAGTTGGAAATGGTTAGTAATGCCCTTTTCAATATGCATTCTTGTTGTAGACTACATATCCCACCATGTGACATGATACTTTCACAGTCAATAAAATTGATTCAGGCTCCCTAGTCAGGTGTTAAAAGAAGGAAATTAAATGTATTTATCCCTAAAACAATTTGATTGTTCAGGACAAACACAAAACAGTTTTGTCTGAGCTGATTTGGTGGTCCATGATCATGTAGCCACATCCTACTGCATAGTAGGTCTTTAATCATTTTTACACTGTAGTGATCTGGTGTTAGGGGAAAAAGTATTAAGGTTCTTTTGCATCACGCCCTGCCTTATTAGGCCCCATGCACACTAGGTGTTTGCCCAGTTCTTCTGAAGCCTACAGGACAAAATCAGCATAAAACACTGCTGAAGTTGTGTTTTCCAAACACGTTTAGCCGCGTTAACTGTTTGGGCATTCATTCATTACATTGGCCAGATATTCTTTTGTTATGGCCACTGAAATGAATGAACATGGTTTCAACGTGTTGGACATTTTTTCTGCTGAAACGCTCCTCTCCTGAATGTGCAAGTTATGGGTTTTTTTGGGGTTTTTTTTGCATGGCCACATAGGCTTACATAGAGGCATAAAAAACATCAAACGCCCTTAAAGTGTTACTAAACCCAGGACCCTGCATTCACTATATCTGGTCCCCAGAGTACACAGGCATGGAAATGTAATTATTTTAGTAAATATAAACTGCTAAATACCTTTTCTCATCAGCAGTTAGAGCAGTCTTGTGATTTCTATCAGTGTTCAGCATAGCATCATTTAAAACTTGTAGGAGGAGTTTTCTGCTCTAGGAGGATGCAAAACCCCTGACCTCTGTCTGGACAGCACTGATTGGCCCTGTGTTGATCACATGCACTTTCCCAAGAAAAAGAAAACCTGTCTAACAATAGACACCATAGTCTCCATACAATATGTCTTATCAGGAGATAAGAGGGTGACACTGGAAGAAGGGGAGGATCAGAGAAGTCAGGATCAAATAGTATTTTTACATAATGCAGAGGATTATCTCCTTAGGTCCCACAGTGAGTATAACAAACATGCTTTACTGCATATACAGACTGATTTTACTGTTGTGGGTTTAGTAACACTTTAAAAGCAGAATTTTTGATGCCCAGAGTGCATGAGGCCTTAAATCTCTTCTGGACTACAGTAGTGATGAGACTTTCCCTTTCATGGGCCCAAGCTCTGTTTTTGGTTATCTTGGGATTTGGGTGTTCCCATTCAACTTGGGGTGTTCCTATTGCAGAGTGCAGATCTAGGAATTTAAGTACAGAGATCTCACCATTAAATAAATAAGAGATCTCAATAAATAATGAGCTTGGCTTCCCATCATCTACTGAACTAAAATATCAGCTCTTTTATACTTTGTATACACAAGTTGGAAAATGATTATTATTGTTATTATAATTATTATTATTATTATACAGGATTTATATAGCGCCAACAGTTTGTGCAGTTCTTTACAATAAAAGAGAGACAGTACAATTACAATACATTTCAATACAGAAGGAATAGAAGGGCCCTGCTTGTGGAGCTTACAATCTAAAGGAAGGGGGAGGTAGTACAAAAGGTGATAGCTGTTGGCGATGTTTTAATGGAGGTGCTGAAGTACAGTTCTTAGGTGGAGGTGGTAGGCTTCCCTGAATAAGTGGAGACAGACAGGGTGGGGCTGACCAAACATACTGCGGTATGGAGTTCCACAGGATGGGAGAGGCTCTGGAGAAGTCCTGGAGGTGAGTATGGGAGGAGGTGATGAGGGAGCTAGAGCGCAAGATGTCTTGGAAGCAGTGGAGCGGGCAAATTGGATGATATCTGTGGATGAGGTTGGTAATGTAGCTAGGGGCAGTGTTCTGGATGGCTTTGTATGCTGTGGTTATTATTTTGAATTTTATATGTTGGGTTAGTGGAAGCCAATGGAGGGATTGGCAGAGAGGGTCAGCAGTCACTGAGCGGATGGTAAAGTGTATGAGTCTAGCAGCAGCATTCATAATAGACTGAAGGTGGTATAACCTGTGTAACGGTAGACCCCTGAGGAGGGAGTTGCAGTAATCAAGGCGGTATAAAACCAAGGCTTGGATAAGTTGTTTTGTGGTGTCATTGGTCAGAAAGGGGCAGAGTTTGGAAATGTTCCCGAGGTTTGAGGCGGCAGGATTTAGCCAATAACTGGATGTGGGGCCCAAAGGAGAGGTCAGAGTCTAGGATTACACCTAGCATCCTGGCATGAGGGGAAGGACCAATGGTTGTGCTGTTGATCTTAATGGTAAAGTCATGAGTGGGGGATCGGAGAGGAGGAAATATTATAAACTCGCTTGAGATTGAGTTTGAGGTAGTGGTGTCACCCATGCTCATATGTCACTTAGTATTATTATTATAATTATTATTATACAGGATTTATATAGCGCCAATAGTTTGCTCAGCGCTTTACAATATAAAGGGAGACAATACAGCAACAATACAGTTCAATATAAGAGGGATAGCTTAGTAGATTTGTTATACTTGAGGAGATTGAGTGGGTGAGCTGGGGAGTGGAGAGATAGGTCTGGGTTTTATCAGCATAGAAGTAGCATTGGAAACCATGGGAGGCTATCAACTGGCCCAGGGAGGAGGAGGTGTAGAGAGAGAAAAGGAGGGGCCCAAGAACAGAACCTTGGGGTACCCAACAGAAAGGGGAAGAGGAGCGGAGGAGGAGGAGTTGTATGTGATGCTGAAAGTGCGCTTAGAAAGGTAAGAGGAGAATCAGGAGAGAGCAGAGTCATGGAGGCCAATGGAGTGGAGTTTACTGAGGAGAGTGGATGACTGTTTCAATGGATGAGAGGGTTTTTTGATGAGAGTGTTGTAGTAGGTTTGTTTAGCAGCGTGGAGGCCGAAGTTGTATTTGAGAAGGGTGGATTTGTAGAGGGTAAAGTCTTGTAGGGATTTAGTTTTACGCTATGGTCGCTCAAGAGCTCAAGAACATGGCTGCATCTCTTGAGACTTCTGGTGTCATCTGTTTGCCAGGGTTGTGACAGGCGAAGCCTGGTTCTATGTGTACAGAGAA